AAATAAATAGGACACACATGTGTAAATACCGAATAGTTTCTCTAGTGTGAGAAACTGAAAGTGTAAATGAGGATTAAAATGATTAAAATGAATAACTGATAATTTGAAATAGGTAAAACGTCCAAAGGTATACGGGTGGTGGGAAGGGAATGGGAAAGGGTAGAAGGGAAAGGAACAATTATGAGAAAAGAAAAAAACAATGGAAAGGAAATCTATGTAAATAGGGATGCTTTGATGGGTGAAGGGTGCGCAGGTAAGGGGGAAAATACAAAAAATAAGATACATCATGTACAGGTAAAAGCACCCAATGACAAATATAAACATATCTTGTAACTAAAATATACCAATAAAAGGATTTTTATAAAAAGACATAGTGAGATAGATCTTGGGCATTTGGGAAGTGAACAGAGAAAGGGTGGCAGTGGGGAGGGAGTGTGGGGAAATTAGATAAAAATGGTGAAGTGCTGTGTACATATACCAAGTCCCTATGAGGAACATGATCACCATGTGCTACATCCGTGTATGGACATGTGTGTGTGTGTGTGTGTGTGTAGAAGAAGTGTCCCTAGAGATCCAGGAGGGGGAAGGAGGGGAGGGGGTATAAAGACAAGAATTTAAAAATATTATGTACATGTACCAACTCCCCATGGTGAATGTATTCATTACGTACTACAAACATGTACCAATAATCATAATAATGATAATAAAAAGGGAAATAGTGGACTATCGCTACCAGCTCTCAATAGAGCAAAAGTTGGCCCAGATAGAAAAGTAGGCCTATCCACATCACTGGGCTATGGTCAGCGATTCTAATTACTGTAGAAGGGATACCCCCAGGCTACTATGCCACACTCTGGCCATCAGTGCCACAAAGCTGTGTCATGCACTGAGCTCCAAGCCCAGCACAGCACTTGGGAAGGATTAAGGTCCCCACAGCTATAAGCTATTAGTGAAGTGAACTCGGCCTAAGACTGCTGCAACAAATCACTGGCAGTGCTTGCGGGAAGAGAAATTCAATAGGCTGTGACTGTGTTTTTCCTTGGCTCTGGGTTGTTCTAGAGACTCCATCCTTAGGGAGGCCTGAGGATGAGAGGTGCTAAGATCTACCTAGTGTTTTATCTCACCCAGTCTGGCACTAATTTCAATGCTTGAGCTTACTACCCAGCTAATGGGATCTTGCTTTATGCTATGCTGCCTCAGGTTGGTAAGGTATTGGTGAAGGCAATCCCTTGGGCACCTAGACTGATACTGAGCTGGGCTGAATTTGAATCTCATAGGTGCAAGGGCCCACACATTCTCAAGGGTTCATCAAAGTCCGTGTTGCAGCTGGTGGTGAAGTGGACTGGAAAAGGAGTCCAGCCCATTGGTGTATTCACTGCTTATTGTTAAAGAAGTTCTACAGTCTGATCTGTGATAGTTGTACTGCTTGGCATCGGGGTCTGGGTGATGGAGACAAATATGATACTGATCAGGGATGCTCCTGAGACTTACGGCTGCAGCGATCTGCAGTTTGGGGGAGAAGGAATGTGTGTTCTACAGGCTCACTCCAAGGCTGGCAATGATGTAGGCCAAAACTAGTCTGTCCCAATTCTACGTAAGTCTCTGCCTGAGGCTGGAGAGGCTCCATCTGTGAGCTCTGCTCTGCATGCAGGTACCTTATTTTCTGCTTGATACTATGTAGAAACCCATGGTGGCCTTAGCACTGAATGCCAAGACAAAGGCCTGTGCTAGCATTCATGTCCTGCTTCTCTGTAGGTGGAGTCTTGCTCCTTGTGCTTGTTTCTTATTGCTGCCTGAACTTGAGAGGAATTTTACAAGCAGTTTCTTTGCTTTCTGGCCGCACACTTTTGGCAGTTGGTCCATGGGTTTGTTTGGCAGTAGGCCTTGTGGGGCCCTGCTCAGCAGGTTTCACTGCAGAGGGCCTGGCGCTATATTTAAAAATAAAAAATCCAGGCCTTAACTTGAAGAGGATTTAACTTGAGTTATCAAGTGGTGGGCGCCTCTGTGCTTCAGAATGGTGGAGGGGTGATGTCTGTAATTCCTTCCTGCCTGCCTTCTTGAATAGCCTTTTCTGTTATAGTTTTAAACAGGTATTATAGTCTCTCACCTGGTTTCTTTAGCTCTTGTAAAGGTGTTACCCTACTCTAATTTTGTACTGCCTAGTTAACTGAAATTCTGTCCTGCTTAAATCTTATATTTCAGGACAGGATGTAGATACGCCAGAGGTTTCTCTTCAGGTGGGCTAGCCTAAACTGAATGATCTAAGATGTCTGGTAGAGTGACCACTAGACATCCTCTACCTTCATTATAATCCCAACTGCATGCTAAATGACACGCACTCTAATGCCATGACAGTTGACATTTGACAGTGGCCATGATCATAACAGGAGCAAAAGGAGAAAAAGAACCGTTAACAGGAGTGGGAAGGGGCGACAATCGAGGGGGAGATGGGATACAAAACTCTGTCCACCACCAGAAAAGACATGAATATTCCATCTCTTTTATTAACCTATCTTGCCCCCTCATTTTTTACCCTACATCTATGAAAGTTAGAGATGTTAATTTGCAAATCTATCAGATCTATGCTTTGCCAAGAAAAACGGTCTCCTTTGCTGCTCAATTGATCCTTGGTCCTGTTACTGGTTCCATAATTCCAAGAGGGAAAAAGGACCCAGATTGAAGTTAAAAATTGGTAACAAATGTAGCTTGCTGCAAGTATAAACTGTTCGACTTAGGTGTATCTGTGGGAGTCACAGATCTTGCCCGTCATCTTTCTCTGCTCCTCCAAGTGATCTCGTTGTTTTCTGTTCTCAACCCTTGAGGTAACTAGTATCTCTTATCTACTGATACGTTGAGCAGTCGTTCTCCACTGTTCAGGAGCGGCCCAGTCTAAGAACCGGCAAGCAGGGGCCCGCCCTTTTCGCCGGTCTGGGCAGGAACAGGAAGCGGAAGTGTGCCTCTGCGCATGTGCAAAGCGCCAGCGCGTCACCTGATCCCTCTTCTCTGTGAGGTAACTGTTTTCTCAGTGGGCTTCCTAGCTGTGTGTTCGCAGGGAGGCGGAGGGCTGGGCCTGGGTGTCCGTGGTCAAAGGGGTCCACCTCAGCGCTTCCCGTCTGGACACTGCCGGCCTCCCGCCGTTGCGGGATCTTCCTTGAGCCTCAGCAGCCCCGTCCTCGGCGCCGCGACCCAGGCCCTGGATCCGGGGTTCCGGGAGCGTTCCGCGGGGGGCGATTCTCCTGCAGGCTGGAATTGGAGAACCACCATCATAGTCTCCCAAATGCATCCTGTTCTCACTTTGCAGAAAGGGAAAGCACCTCTGCTTTGGGGCCAGGGGACGAGAATCTCCACGTCGCCGTCGCTGCGCGGGTCCCAGGATTTCTGCGTGCTGGGTGAGCTCGGTCCCCGCCTCGCCTCTCCCGGTACATTGCATAGCGTTGAATCTGAATGTTCCTCTGCTTTCGAGCATCAGCTTGGCACACTGTATTCAGATACATAAAAGCGAACTGATTTATTTTACATAATTTGCCCGCCCCCGCCAAATCCATTTTATCATTAATAAAATGGTACAGGTTCTTTGAATTTCACAGAATTAACCAGTCTCAACGTTTTCATTTTAATTTCTTCCATTTTCCTTTTTTGTTGTTTTCGATTTCTCTGCTGCACCTGCCTGTACTTGAAGTTGACTGGAGAATAGCATATAATTTGCATCCTAGCTTTATTCCTGATGTCATAGAAAACAAATCTGCCATTTCACTATTAAGTTTTTGCTGTCGGTTTTTTTCCTAATAAGTATTTTTCTTCCTAGTGGGATAAATTACTGTCACCTATGGATATTGAAATAGATTAATCACTGTTTTGTGTCTAATGGGATGAACCATATGATCTTTTTCAATTAGTATTAACGATTGATTATCAATTATGTTAATTCTATTAATGATTAATTGATTATATTAATGACTACATTTTTTTAAGCGTCCTTCATTCTTACATAGAAAATTGGTTTGTGATTTATTCTCATAGTTCATTTCTCAACTGTAGTAATATTTTTACATTATTTGCATTTAATGTGCATAAAATATTACACTTTTTTAAAAAGTTGTACTCTTTCAGGTCATGGAAATACCCAGGAAAACAGATTTTTTTACTCACTGGAGTTATGAATTCATTCCTTATCTGGTGAACCTGCTTGTAAAAGTTATAACTTCTCTTTCCTTTGTGGACATGTGTTTCACCTAGATTTTTGTTTTTGTTTTTGTTTTCTTTAATACTGAATGTAATGATTTTGTGCCTCTTAGATCATTGTTGGAATATTGTAATGCTGTCTTGAAATTCATTTCATCTATCTATATGATTCATTCTTATTCACAACTTATTTTTGTCTGTGCTCTCTTGCTTTTAAATTTGTTGAGTTTTTCAGTTGCATTAGTTGTCAAAGGGTATATGTTTAGGTTCTCTGGTTCTATTATTTTTAAAAAGTTATTAATTTTGAATTCTTTTTAAACTTTTGTATAGTCCTTTTTGCAACCTCATAAATCAGTTGTTTGTCCATAAATACTAGTTGTTTTTCCCTTTTGGGAGTTGATAGTGCTTATAAAGATAAAAATATATGTGCTAAACTGGCTATGGATTTCTAGTTATTTTAATTTTCTGCTTCTATCTGTCACAAACCAGTCCTAATAGACTGCATTTTAATAGAGCATGTGGTACCACCTGATATATTTTGTTTTTTGCTCTGCCCTGAAAGATTAAAATCCTTGTGCTTAAGTATTTGTCTTTTATTTAGTGGTTTATTCCCCATGATTTCATGTTGTAGGGTCAGGGTAAATGTTACCTAAATGTGTATGAAACAAAAGGGCAGGAATAAAGGCCTTAAGGAAAACATCCTTACCTAGCTCCTAGGCCCTAGAAGAAGGAACCCAGAGCACATTTGAATGGAATGCTTCACTCAGTTGCTCTTCAAAGTGCCCTATGGGGTTCTAGATTAAATCCTGGTAATGTTAGAGAATAGGAGCTTTAATAACAGCTAGGTTGTAAGATTTATGTTTTAAAAATGAACTCTTTGGACATGTAGGCTTAAATACAAATAGACTTGAAATCATACTCTGCCTCAGCAGCTTTATAATTGGGTAATATTGAGTAGATAGTCAATTTTTTCAAAGATTCCTCAACTTTAAATTGTTTGGTATATCTGATTAACAGAGTTTCTATAAGAAGTAAGTAATATATGCACATTTCTTTACAAAGTCATTATCACATTAGGGTTGCTATTATAAAAACAGTAAAGTGTTATTTTTTTTACTGGCTTTCACATATGCTACCTATTTTACTCCAGAAGGAACTTTTGAATTTTCCATGTTTCAAATTTGTGAAACAATGCTGCAGTGCCACTTTGAAGGGGAGCACAGATCTACTAGTATACTGTAGAGGGAAAGTAAGCATGTGAATCACAGAAACACAAATTTTTCTGTGTCCTACATATGGAATTTAGTGGGTTGATGCTCAGAAACTAGTTTTGGGGAAAACCCTACCCTGACAACAGGTACAGAAGTAAGTTCTGGAACTGAGCCCTCAGAAGTCTGCTTTCATGGATTTGATACAGGGAGTATTTGTTCCTATGGTTGAAGGCACTGCTTGATAAATTTTATGTCTTTTGTTATAATAGAAAAATTGACAAGAGGATATTTTTAGACATCAGTTAACTTGCTTACAAAATGTCACTCTTAAGTGTCTTCTTTATGATTAGCAAGGACCAGAGCATTGTGTTCTAGCTTTAGATAAGGTTTTTCTACATTATTTACAAGATCAGTGAATGTTTGCCTGGGTATGTTACTGTGTGTGTGTGTAAATTTTCATTTGTAATTGATGTACTACAGGATCCAGGCTCATGAGTTCATGAGTATGGGAACTTCAGGGAGGTTTGGGTTCTTCTTTCGGCATCTCCCTTACCTGTAACTTATCAGTATCCTGCTTTTCTTTGTGAAGGTGACATGGGGGAAGAAAGAAGAAATGCTGAGTTACAGAAAAATATGATACAGGTAAGTGAAGGTAATAATTCTCCAAGGAATACTTCCCTTCCACCAGGTTGTCCTTTAGCTATTTAGATCATAGCTTACCAGTCTGTTAATGTATTGGATACCATGATAAGTATTTTAGGCTTTGGATGACATAGAACTTCTATTCCAGAAATTGTCAGAGAGAAAGAGAAACTGTCATTTTAGTGCAAAAGCAGACATAGACATAACACGGCTTGTTTCTTTTTTTAATCCTCTGCCCCTTCCCACCCACCTCTCTCCCTCTGCCTCTAAATCCCTTGTTATGGCTTGTGTTTAGATGTCCCACCAAAGCCACAGGCAGTCAACATAGGTGGGGCTTTTTCAGAAGTGGGTGGAGGCTCCAGGGCACTAGGATTAAGGGTGTGAGTGCTACCCATCCTAAGTAGTCTGGATAAGATAAAAGGGGCAGAAAGACACTGTCAAGATTCCTTGTTGCTTTTGCTATCTCCTGTCCGCCAACTTGAACTGTTTCTCCTACCATGCCTTGGAGTCAGTGGATTATGGATTAAAACCTCTACAAACTGAGCTAAATAAACCTTTCCTCTTTTAACTTTGAGTGTCAGGTATTTTTTCTCAGCAATGAGAAAAGTACTTAAGACAAAATGTGGTACCAGAAAAGTGGGCTTCTTGTGTCCTTGTTGTGACTATACCTGACCATGTGGTTTAGGAGTCTTTGGGACTGGCTTGTGAGAAGAGTTTGGAAGGTTTGGAGATGCCAGCGAAAAAGTAGAGCTGGAATTCCTGAGGCTGTACTTGATGAGATAGTCTGGTTAGAGCTCAGAAGACCAGAATGCTAGTAGAAATTTTGCCAGTAAAGACCAGGCTGAGGAGGTTTTTGCTGGAAAGAAGGATGTGAGCTGTTGGACTCCAGATGATGTGTGTTATGGCTTGGCAGAAAGTTTGTCTGCATTTTTTTCAGGTCCAGAGACTTTGCCTGAGACTGAGATTAAGGGTGGTACTAATGAATCTTGCAGAAGAAATTTCAAGACAGTCTAATGTTGAGGCAGTGGCTTGGCTACTGTTGGGGGCTTTTAGCCAGATCTGTATTGGGAATCAAGAGCAAAGAGGCCAGCACAGTGAGTTAAAATGTTGGGAATTTGGCCAGAAAGGAAGTACCAGTAAAGCTGTGGACTGTAAAGATAGAGTAGAGGATATCTACATTGCTGAGACAAAACAGGATTATAGAAAAGATGGTCTGGAGACATCACAAGAAGCAGCAGGACTCTACCCTTTGCAGCCTCAAAATTGCTAAAGTGAAAGAATTTGCTTAAAGAAGAGAGCTACAGAGCACCATGTTCCACAATGGTGGTGGCCTAGAGTTTGTTTCTCAGGATTGGGTTTGGAGTGCTTAGTGATCCGGGACTTGACCCCTACAGCCAAACGAGAAGGAAGCCTGGCTACTGCTCCAGCTGGTGGTGGACCTTGGCAACAGCCATGTGGCACTGGTTTTAGGTGCATGTGGAATGCAAGAGTTGTGGGATCTGGAAGGCTTCTACCCAGATTTCAGAAGAAGGCTTGGGAGACCAGGCAGAGTGTGAACCCGAAGATGCAGTAGAGACTGCAGAATTTTGGAGAAGCCAGGTAGGTGAATCATCTGAGGAAAGCTGCAAGGAGAGAGCAGAGCTGCCCAAGAGAGAAGCCCTGGGAGCCACAACCACTGACAGTGCCATAGGGGTGGAGCCACCCAAGCCCCTTTGGAGTTCACAACTTGCCACAGATTGCTGAGGATGCTGGAAGTGGAGCTGTGGGATTTAATGTTTGCCTTGTTGGATTCTAGGCTTCCTCTGTTCTCTTTCCTTGCTATACCCCTGTGTGTAACTTTTCAAATGGAAATGTTATCTTATGTCATTGAGTATTACAAGTGTTTAACTGTACTAATGAGTATATGAGGATACAGTTAAGTCTTTGTCTTAAATCTCAGAGGAGACTTTGGACTCGGACTTTTCAGCAATGTTAAAACTGTTAGGACTTTGGCAACTCTTAGAGATGGACTAAATGCCTTTTTCATAAAGAGATGTGCGTGAGTCTTTGTTGGGCGGGGGGCAGGGGCAGAATGCTTTTGTTTTGATGTCCACCCAGAGCCTCATGTGTTCATAGGTGGGGCTTTTTCAGAGGTGGGTGGATCTCGGGTGTGTCTGATTGATTCCTGGTACAGTGCCAGGCTCCAGGGCACTAGAATTAAGAGTATGAGTGCTACTGGCTCTAAGTAGCCTGGATAAGATAAAAGGGCCAGAAAGACACTGTTAAGGTTTCTTGTTGCTTTCTTTGTCTTCAGCCATGACCTGTTTCTCCTTTTGATGCCCCTCAGAATGGGTGCTGGTTTAGAAAGAGCAAGGGATGATTAAAGGTTTGGAACTTTTAGCTCCAACCTTTCTCCAGATTGGGGAGGGGAGGGGACTGAAGTTCATTACCAATAATCATCAGTCTTGCTTAGTAGTGAAGCCTCCATAAGAACTCAAGAAGAATGGGTTTGGGATGTATTAATCACTTTTCCATTGCTGGGACAAAAATACTCGACATTTCCAATTTAAAGAAGAAAGTGTTTGTTTTGACTTAGTGTTTCAAAGGTTTCAGTCCACAATCTGCTGGCTGTAAGGCAGAACTAACATGGTAGAAGGGTGTGGGAAAAGAAAGCTGCCTCACTCATGGCATCTAGAAAACAGAAAACAGGGCAAAGCCAAAGAGGATGAGGCCAGGGACCAGATATAATTCCCTAGGTCACACCCCCCATGACCTTCTTCCAATTGGCCCCCTCCTCTATTAGCCCCTGAACACAACAGTAGTTAACCCATTGATGAGGCTAGTGCCTTCACAATCCAGTCACCTCTCCTGAAATCTCTTCATTCATTCAAATGGACATTCAAGATTAACTGGCAGAGGGAAGCTTCTGGGTAGCTGAACATAGTGGAACATAGTGGAAGTTCTTGGAGCTTGGTGTTCCAACAGGGTATGGAAATTCTGTACCTCTTTCTACTATATCTACCTCTTCATTTGCCTGTTCATGTGTATAACTTGTAATCTTCTTTGTAATTAGCCAGTAGACATCTTTGAGCCATTCTGGCAGATTGATTGAACTGAAGGTGTGAATATCAGGATCTATTTTATATCGCCAGTTGGTCAGAAGAATTTGAGAACAGTGTTGTGGGACTGAGCCACCATTATGTTGGGTGATACTATCTCTGGGTAGACATTGTGAGAATTTTATTGAATTATAGGACACCCAGATTTTCATGAGAAAAATCTTCCACACATCTGGTGTGAGAAGTATGTATTCAGCAACTCTGTAATAGTATATAAGAAGTGTGTATTTGTGCTGTATTCAGCAACTCTGAGAGTGACTGTGTTCAATCTCATTACTATCACACTGCAGAGAAAGAAATTGAGCGTTTTCAAAGTGCTAAGCCTAGCCGGAGATTTTGATTAGTTAGAAAGGGTATGTGGGTGGAAAGGGAAAACAATCTCTGACTGAGTCCCACAGTAGATTCCGGGAGACAGTAGAATCAATCTTCTGAACTTTCTCTGAATTGATTCTCCATTCTCAGTATTGTCAGCCTCCTCCATCCTCTTGTACAACATAAGGCACTTGCACTTTTCTAAAAAATAAAAATTGTGGCTATTTTAGGATTCACTGACCTTTGAAGATTTGGCTGTGGACTTTAGCCCTGAGGAATGGGCTTTGTTGGATCTTGCTCAGAGAAAACTCTACAGAGATGTGATGCTGGAAACCTTCCGGAACCTGGCTTCCCTAGGTAAGAATGGCAGTATTCATTCATGTCGTTTAGAAAACAGATTATTTTTCCAGTTCACCTTGTTCTGGGATTTGAGCTGAAGAAGGGGAATGCATTGATAAGTAAGGCAGATATGCTCACTGACCCCCAGGTATTCTTGTCTGGAGAGGTTTTATCATGTAAATAAACACCAGTGTTTTAGACCTCCAGTTTATTTTTCTTGTGGTGGAAACGCTTGAACTTATTGTTGAAAGCCTGGGCATGACGGGGTCATTTTGGAGCAAGGGAAGATGATTTGAAACCTTCTGAGGATTTTACTGTTGTGAATGCTGTTTGCCAAAAGACCACCAGGGATATGCTTATAAATAAGCAACTTGGGTTTGTTTCTCAGCGCAGCATAGAAGAGCATTCCCTACGAGGAATTGTGTGGCATCTTAGTGAGAGGGCATTAGGGAGTATCGCGGGATTTATGCTTTGGTTGAATGATTTGGGAATTGGTCTGAGGAAGCCAACTGTCTTATTTTCTGAGGCCTTCTCTAACAAAGTACCGCACACTGGTGGCTAACCAGCTGAAGTTTATTCTGTCATCTTTCTGAATGCTGGAAGTCCAAAATCATGGTGTCAGCCGGGTGGTACTCTCTGAGGGGTTAGGGAAAATGTCTCTCCTTGTCTCTTCTCAGCTTCTAGTGGTCATGGACAGTCCTTGGTGTTCTTTGGTTTGACTTAGCACTCAAGTCTCTGCCTCAGTCTTCTTTCCTGTGTGGCTGTTTTAAATCACTTTCCTTATAGTGACACCAGTTATTAGATTTAAGGCCTACTTTCATCCAGAATAACATCTTACATTGATAATATCTTCAAAGACCTTTTATCCATATATGGTAACATTCTGAGATTCTGAGGAGACATTTTAATAGGCTTAATTTTTTAGAGCATGTTTATGTTCATGTTTTAAGTTAGAGCAGAAGGTAGAGAGATTTTTATATGTGCTCCTTCCCCCTCCTCTTTCCCCACTTTCAACATTTCCCACCAGATGGTGTGTTTGTTACAGTTGAACCTACATTGACACATTTTCACTACTACAATGGAGTCTGTAGTTTCCATTAGGGTTCACTTATGCTGTATATTCTGTGGCTTTGGAAAAATGTACAGTGACATATATCCACTATTATAGTGTCAGAGTAGTTTCACTACCCTAAAAAGTTCTGTGTGCTCTACCTATTCATCCCTCCCTCTCCCTGAACCCTTTGTCAGCCACTGATTTTGTACTGTCTCTTGTCATTTTGCCTTGTACAGGATGTTGTATAGTTGGAATCAGGTCATCAGGTCATATGCTGCCTTTTCAGATTGGCTTCTTTCACTTACTCATGTGCAGTTGAGTTTCTTTTATGCCTTTTCATGACTTGATAGCTCATTTCTTTTTAGTGCTAAATAATATTCTGTTGTCCGGATGTGTTAGAGTTTATCCACTTACCTACTGTGAGGCATCTTGTTTGCTTCCATGTTTTGGCAATGAGGAATGAAGCTGTCAAAGCATTTATGTGTAGGTTTTTGTGTGGACATAAGTTTTCTCAGCTCCTTTGGGTGAATACTAAGCACAGATGATGTTGGAACCTATGATAAGAATATGCTTAATTTTGTAAAAAACCATCATAATGTTTTCCAAGCAGCTGTGCCATTTTATATTCCTGCCAACAGTTAGTGAGAGATCCTATTACTCCATATTCTTGTCAGCATTTGATTTTGCCACTCTTCTGATAGGCCAATAGTAGAATATCACTGTTTTAATCTGCATTTCCCTGATGACCTATATGGGGAGCATCTTTTCTATTCTGCTTGAGGAGGCTAATCATCCACAGATACTTCAGCTTATTTATTTATTACACACTTGGGCACTTTAACACTGAGCAACATCCCCAGCCCTTTTTTATTTTTCAAATCTTGAAGCAGGGTCTCAAAAGTTGCCCAGGGGGGAGTTGAACTTGAGATCCTCCTGTGTCAGCCTCCCTGAGTGCTAGCTAGGATAACAGGCATGTGTGCCCAGCTAATTATTTTAACCTTTTATCTGTCCTCTCTTACTTACCTTATCTTTTGTAAAGGCTTTATTGGCTTTTTTAAAGTTAGTATTTGGTATACGCATTTTATTCAACCCCTTTCTGTTCTGCTCTCCTAATACTGTTCCACTTGTTACCATCAATGTCAGTCTTCACAGAACTGTTTCTTAGTGAATTGCAAACTATGTTACCCCATCCCTGTTAATATCAAAATCTTGAAACAGCCACAGTGCTAAAAGTCACTGATGGTTTCACTGATTTTTTTTTTTTTTTCTCACTGATGGTTTCACTCTTTTGTTTCAGGTTTTAAGATTCTACTTAAAACTAATGAATCAGTTGTTCTGCCTGATAATAATTTAGAAAAAGTATCTAATGAACAAAAAGTCATAAGATTCAATAGAAATGGTTCTTGGTTCTCCATTTTACATGCAAACTGGGAACACTATGGTATTGATGAGAAGAACAAAAGCCATGGGAGACTTTTGAGGTGAGTGTCCTTCACAGATGAGAAAGTAGTTCCTCAGGAGAGAATTAAAATGTCTTGAGATTTAAGAAATGTGTTTACATATGCCCAAGTCAAAAGTTGTGATTTCACAAATAATTTTGTCTGTAAACTTTTTCCTACAAATGAGACTGAGTTTTTTACACATATTTCATTAGTAATCATTCATCACAAAATTGCCGTAAGTCAAAAATGTAGTGAAACTATTGGCTGTGCTAAAGCTATCCATGAGAACATTCATCTTGTAAATTGACAGGGAAAGTAAAGCATGTACACTCACTGACAATGGTAAAAAATTATTACTAATAATGTCCCTTTCATTTTTAAAAGTCACATGGTGGAGAACGTCTATGAATGTAATGAAGAAAATCAAAGTGAACAAATTCCAAATCTTAATGTGCTCAAGAGAACTACTGAAGTAAACTCCTATGAATGTCATGAGTGTGGAAAAGCCTTCCTGTGCCATTCATCCCTTAAGAATCACATCAGATCTCATACCAGAAGCAAACCCTACCAGTGTCAGGAATGTGGGAAAACCTTCCATTTTCTTGCTTATTTTAAAAAGCATATGAAGACTCCTACTGAAGAGAAGCCCTATGAATGTAAGGAGTGTGCCATACTCTTCAGTTGTTCCTCATTCTTTAGGGCACATATGAAAATTCACAGTGGAAAAGTAAACTATGAATGTAAGGAATGTGGGAAAACTTTCAGTACTTCTTCTTATCTCACTGAACATAAAAGAATTCATAGTGGAGATAAGCCTTGTGAATGTGATGAGTGTGGGAAGGCCTTTAGTTGTCCTTCATCACTCTCCCAACACAAAAGAATTCATAGTGGGGATAAGCCGTATGAATGCAAGGAATGTGGGAAGGCCTTTAGTTCTTCCTCTCACCTCATAACACATATCAGAATTCACACTGGAGAGAAGCCTTACGAATGCAAAGAGTGTGGGAAGGCCTTCAGTGAGTCCTCAAAACTCAGTCGACATATGAGAGCACATACTGGAGAGAAACCATATAAATGTAAGGACTGTGGGAAAACCTACAATTGCCCCTCCTCCTTGAGCATCCATATGAGGAAACACACTGGAGAGAAACCCTATGAATGTCTGGAATGTGGAAAAGCCTTCTATCTTCCCACTTCCCTGTATACACATGTGAAAAATCAGAGTAGAGAGAAACCATATGAGTGTAAACAATGTGGGAAGGCCTTCAGTTGTCCCTCATCCTTTAAAGCACATGTGAGAGATCATGCCCGAGAGATACAATATCAGTGTAAGGAGTGTGGGAAGGTCTTCAGTCGTTCCTCATCCCTCACCGAACACTTGAGAACTCACAGTGGAGAGAAGCCTTATCAGTGTAAGGAATGTGGGAAAGCCTTTATTAGTTCCTCCCAGCTTACAGTTCACAGAAGAACTCACACTGGAGAGAAACCTTATGAATGTAAGAATTGTGAGAAATCCTTTATGTATTTCTCAGCCTTCAGCTTCCATATGAGAATGCACACAGGGGAAAAACCATATGAGTGCAAGGAATGTGGGAAGGCTTTTCGACATTCCTCATACCTAACCATCCATGCAAGAATGCACACTGGAGAAAAACCCTTTGAATGTCTGGAATGTGGGAAAGCCTTCAGGTGTCCTTCATCTTTTCAAAGACACGTGAAAAGCCACACAGGAGAGAAACCATATGAATGTAAGGAATGTGGGAAAGCCTTTATTTGTGCAGCCTACCTTCGAAGACATGTGAAAATCCACAATAGAGGAAAAATATGAAGATCAGGAATACAGCAATGTGTGCAAGAGTCATTATCATAGGCAGCTTGTTAAATCACCTTGTGACTATGAGAAAGTAGAACATTGCTTATTCTTTGGAAGACTAGAGCATACCTGAGAGGAACCTTGTGTATGAAAACCATGTAGGAAAACTTCCCTGAGCATCACTTCACTTATTATTTATCAAAAAATTCATACTAAAAGGATCTAGGGCTCATCCTTGAAAGTAAACTGAGTACTTCCTAAGTTCCAGTATTTTTAATAGGCAGGTGTTAAATTTATGGGGATAAATTTACCTTAGCTGTAGCCACATATTTTGTATGAGGTACATTTTTTAAAGTTTCTTCTTGATAGATGTTTGCTATACATAATACACATTCATTGTAGGGGATTAGTGCATGCACATACTACATCATGATCTTTTTACTTCCCCTTTCTCCCTCCCATCTCCCCCACCTCTAGACTCCTTATCTCCACGAAGTCTACCTCCCTGTTTCCTATCATTTATGTTGCTCTTTAAATAATTTATACTTTGAATTTTTATGTGAGAGAAACCATATATTTACTTTTTTATTATATACATATATATGTATATATATAATATATATATTTGACCCAGATGGAAATAATATTTCCATTAAAAGACTTTTGGACCCATGTGGGGTTTGAAGTTTATGTTTTCATAGGAGAGTAGTCTTTTATTTGGTTTGTTCATTGTTCTTTAAGTGTTTGGTCATTAAGATGTGGACACTGGGTTTTTTTTGGGGGGGGTCACATATCAGATGCTGGAGGTTTCCTAGCCAGCATTTCTCCTTCCCCGCTTTTTACTGTGAGAATCTACAGATTATGGGAATTAGAAGTTTTTACTATCAAAATATTGGATCCAAATCCTAGCCATGTGCAAGGACAAAGAATAAAGTGTGAAAACGGCATATGAAACCATGCGCTTTCCTGTCTTGTATTTATTAATTTCTGCTGAAATTACCATAAAGGTTTTGATAGTGAAAACTTGTAATTCCTGAGATAGTGTTCTCTCTGACAGCATGCAAGGCAAGTTGCCATGGTATTTTTTCTAAACGAATCGCTCAGTATTCAGGTTTAATTGCAGTGTTGGCACTTTGTGATAAATGATTGGGTTTTGGGTTGCAGTTTGGACACTCAGTCTCTGAAAGATTCACTGAGATCAGGGCTGCTGGTGCTTGTGCTTTCTACAAGACTTAGATGTCAGAGAATAGTGTGGATCAGTTTGGCTACTGAAGAGCTCTGTAGACTGAGCTCTCAAGGCTGGACAAATGTACATCACCAGCCTGTATCATTCACCCGTCTGGCTGCTGGTCCCGGTTTAGTGGACTCTGTGCCTGTGTCTCCACCCAGATTCATCATCTTCTTTGGAGAATGTAGGCTGAGATAGGCATATCATCAAATGAAGTCTATTATATATGTTTTATATCAATACATTTAACAAATTCTAATAATGACATACTTATTACAAAACAGTGGACAAATATTGTTTGGCCTCCTTTAAGTGCCCTACATCTCTAGAAAAGAGTGTTCTCTTTATTTCCAGATAAGGAAAATCAGCACAGAGAAATGGAGTGGTTTACACATACTACATAGTGAATATTTGAAAGATGTGGCCCCCAAACTTGGTACACTGTTTCTAGTCTCAGGGCTCTTGTCAGCCTGCAGGAGTGCTTGTCTTTTTGTTGTCAATCTTGATTGAGTACAGATGAATTAACTGTGCCAAACCATCAATTCTTTGTTGAGATTCAGCAAGTTGATCTGTGAAACAGGTTAGAATCTGGTTTACAAGGACATTAATGATGCAAGATCTGTAGGTTCTACAGCTTTCTATGAATAAAAATTCACAGAATTTTAGGACCAAATGGAAATCTGAGATATAAAAATATTCTCTATATGGAGAGATTTCACATGAAGCTATCATAGAATAATTATTACCAGAGACTTTCTCATTTAATACCTCAATAAAAATATAATTGATAGCTTTTTTTTTCTTTTGGGAAAAAATATAAGCAATAATACAGTCTAAGCATGGGCTGGATTTCATAATTACAATCCATGCACATAGACAGAAATTTTCACAGGTGTAATGAGAGAAGCATAGAATTTTGGTTGGATTTTTGTTACAGGAAATTGGTAAATAAAATGCAGTTCAGTCTTTAGGTAATATATATCATTTAAAATGTTATACCTAAATGTAGGTACTTCATACAAATTAAATCTGTTATAGTAATCATGAATTGGTAGAGCAATACAATTTTAAGAAAATTTATACATAAACCAATGCTGTGGAATTTTGACAGAAAATTCTGACAGTGTATTTAGGAAACAGGCATACAGCGGAATCTGATTATATATTCTTTGTACCCATGTAAGGTGTATGGGTACACAAAACCTCACATTTTATTAGAGATATTTCAAATTTTTATAGAACAGTACTGAAAAGAATATTAAATATTTATAATTTTAATGGTTAATGGCTTTTTGTTTCATTTTAAAAAATTGTAATGAGCAGTCCACTTAATTAGATAGGTAAACATTTTAAAAGACATACTTGGGGAGAGAAGATAGCTGCCTTGAGGGTGACAGTAACGGTGCCAAATTGGTGCTAGAGAAAAGCAGAGACCCTAAGGTAGGGGCAAGAGATAAAGTTTGATAAGGAATGATAAATGAAAATTTAGCTCGCCTAAAATCCAGTGATTAGGGAGTGTGTGAGGGAAAACCACCACTCCTGTGTCATGGTACTGCATACCACGCAGCAGACCTGGTGTACATGTCATCTTGGGAGAGGATTGGACTGAGGGAGGAAGCTGGCCCTTCAGTGACAGCCTGGGTGATTGGACTCAAAACCACAATTCTTTACTGGGCAAAGCAAGTGAGACATATCCCGAGAAGCCAAAGCACTGTGGGTTGGAACAAACTACTATGTACTTGGACCTTGTAAACAGCACTCCAGTGCCAGTGAGCATCAGGAGTATGGCAAGAGGAAATGCTTGACTGATACAGGAAAAAAGCCACCCATTACCCTCACATACAATGGGAATCCTATTAATGGAGCATTCAGAACATGACCTACACTTGTCTGTAGGCTCCCATGAAGGGCTCCCCGCACCTGCTTGCTGGGGACTGTAGAACACTGGGAGACCCAAGATGGTGACAATGCAGAGTAGAGGACTGGGGGCTCTGTGAGAGGAGAGACAGAGGCTGGTGCAAAAGTCAGAGGGTAGTTTGGCTAGGCCAAAACAGTGGGTCTTCTATTGTCTCTCCACCACTGGAAAGGCCTGAAACTGAAAAGTCCTGACCAAATGCCTCACACTGGCAAAAGGGGTCCTTAGCTGAGCCTAGGTGTGGCACTAGGTTCTGTGGATGGAGTGGAGACAGATCTCCGTGGGCAGAGATGATGAACAGTACCTGGGCCCGTGGCCTTTTGGTCATATATTAAAAGCATGTGGATGGAAGACAAACACCCACGATAAATATCCTGCCTCATCAGTTAAGGTTATTGGATCTATAGAGGACTGCAGTGGATCACATCTGGGGCACAGCTTGTAACCAGGACACATTCAGAGGGAGCAACAGCCCTCATGGCTTCAGAGAGGCAGTTATGTGGCCTTTAGGGAAACTTTTTGACTGCTCACAGTCAGATCAACACTCTAGTATGGAGGGAACTGTAAAATCTCGGGGTGAATGCTACAACTGTGAAATTTGTATCTTTATTTCTGTTTTTATTGTGCTTGGTGTAGTTATTGTTTCCTCCCTTCTTTGATTTGATTCATCTTGGTTGATCCCAGAGATAAAGAATTCTATAGAATTCATAAACAGCATAAATGACCAATGTGAAGAGAAGCGTTAAAGACAGGAGAGCAGGAAAAAAATTATTCAACAGCTACTGAAGGATGGTAAGAAGACAAACCTAACACTAATTGGAGTTGGAGAGGAGTTAGAGGACAGCATACATGAAATTAAAAATCTCTTTACAGGCCCAGGGATTTAGTTCAGTGGTTCTGCTGCCTGCCTCGCAAGTGCAAGGACCTGAGCTCGATCCCCGGTACCAAAAAAAAAAAATCTTTACAGAAATACCAGGAAACTTTCCAAGTATAAGGGAAAACTATACACAGGAAATTGAGGCTTTCAGAATGCCTAATAACTGTGATGAAGATACTTCACATGACATATCATAGACAAAATCTTGCATGTTCAACAAAAAAAATCTTAAAAACTGTCAGAGAAAAGGAACACATCACTTATTAAGGTAAATGCATTAGGGTGAGAGCAGACTTTTGAACACAAACTGTGAAGGCCAGAAGAGCTTGAAGTTTTTCAAGCTCTAAAAGAAAACAACTTAAAACCAAGCTAATAGGTATATTGTGCAAAACTGTCAAAATTGATGGAGAAATAAGGACATTTCATGACAACACTTTGAGAACTACATGAACACCACAAACTATCATTCAAAAGTAATAAAAAATGAAAAATGAAAAAAAATGAAAAGACAACCTACAGAATTGGAAAAAATTTGCCAGCTATTAGTTGGATGGAGGAGTAATATCTAAAATATATGTAGAACTCAAAAACATTAAATCACCAAAATAGAAGACCCAATCAAAATGGGCAAGTGCAATGAGTAGACATTTCAAAGAAGCACAAATGGCCAATAAATACATGAAGAAATGGTCAGTATTTCTGCCCATCAGAGAAATGCAAATTAAAACAATACTGAGTTTCCCTTTTAACCCAGAAAGAATGGCCATCATCAAAAAAAATCAAATAATAGATGCTGGTGAGGCTGTAGGGGAAAAGGAACCCTTCTACACTGTTGGTAGAGATGTTAACTAGTACAACCACTATGGAGATCAGTATGGAGATACCTTTAAAAAAACTAGAAATTCCATTAGAGCCAGGTATTTCTCTTTTGGAAATCTTCCTGAAAGAGTAAAAGACATCGTTTCAGTGATCCATGCATACTCATATTTATAGCAGCACAATCCACAATAGCTAAATCTTGGAAGTGGCCTATATTTCCACCAACAGATGAATGGATAAGGAACACCACAAACTATCATTCAAAAGTAATAAAAAATGTCTTTGAAAGACAATGAAGCCAAAACAGGCAAAAGATCAGCTGGAAATAATGCATCAAACAAAGTGAGCAGTTAAAAAGAAAAATTCAATAACAAGACAAAAAGAATGCAATGATAGGAATAAGTCAACACCTTTCGGTAATAACATATATGGCCTTAATTCTCAAAGACACAGATTGGCAGACTGGATCAAAAAATAGAATCAAATGGTCTGTTGCATTCAAGAAACTCATCTAATCCAAAAAGAAATTGACACTAAAAATCAAAGGATGATAAAATAAAATAAAATACTATTTTCCTGTGCCAGGACCCTCAAAGCAAGAGTGGTAGCAGTTTTATTCTCAGAAAAATAAACTTCAAGCTAAAACTGGTCAAAAGGTGCGAAGAACATTACTATGTATTAAATTAGGGAACAATTTGACAAGAAGAGATTAAAAAAATCAAACACCAGCATAACATAGTGGGTGATATTTAAACCCCTCTTTCACAGAGCAACAGATCAACTAAACAAGAAAGATCAAAACTGAACCACACCTTTAAATGAAGGACTTAAGAGATACCTACAGAGTTTTCTAGCCATACCACAACAGAACACACATTCTCAGCAGTGCACAGAACTTTCTTCAAAATAGACTACATACTAGTCCATAAAACCTGATTAAATAAATAACAAAAATATAAAAATGATTCCATATATACTATCAGATAATAGCACAATGAAACCAAAAGTCAATTATAAAAAGAACCACACAAATTTCACTGACATGTGGGCATTAAATAACACACCCCTAAATACTCAGTGAGTCACAGAAGTCAATGAAGAAATTAAACACTTCTAGAATCAAATGATTTTGCCAGTACAACATAACACAACCTACATGAAACAATGCAGTTCTAAAAGAGAAAATTATTACTATGATGCTTATAAAAAACAGCAAGGTCAAATAATCTACCTAATGATGTACCCCCCCCCCCCAACTACAAAAACAACTGCCAAAACCTAGAACAAGAAGGGAAACCATAAGGATCAGAGCAGAAATTAATGAAATTGAAACTAAAAACAATACAAAGGATCGAGGAATTGAGTAGCTGATTTTTTAAATCAAAATAGACAAGCCCTTAGCCAAACTTACCAAAACAAGAAAAGGCCCACATCAATGCAATTAAAATTTTAAAAAATAAAGTCACAATATATACTACTGGAATCCAGGACATTAACAACTACTATGAAAAACTGTTCTCCAACAAATTGGAGATCTTGCAGAAATGAATAAATTTCTAGACATATGAATTATCAAAACAACCAAGAAAACAAAAATACTGAACAATAACAATCAAGGAAGTTGAAACAGTAAGAACCCTACAAAGAAAAGCATAAGACCTGATGCATTCACTGCTGAATTCTACAAGCCATCCAGGGAGGAAATAATACTTCTTAAACTCTTTAATAAAATTGTAAGAGAAGGAGGACTTCCAAACTCCTTCCTGGAAGGTAGTCATATATTGACTCAAACTAGATCAGGACCCAACTAAAAATACAAACTATAGAGCAATCTCTTTGATGAACATAGGTGAAAACTCTTCAAGATACTGGCAAACAATGCAACAAACCAAAAAGTTCATGCACCATGATCGAGCAGGTTTCAATCCAAGGAGCAAGGAAGGTCTTTAAACATTACATAAACAGAAGCAAGGAAAAAAATCACATGATCATCTCAATAGATGCAGAAGCCATTGACAAAGTATAACATCCATATATGATTAACTCTTAAGAAAATAGGTTTGGAAGGATTCTACCTCAGTCTGATAAAATCACTTACAACAAAGCTACTGTCAACATCATATTAAATGGGGAAATAAAAACCCTTTTTCTTCAAAATCAGAACAGGACAAGCATGTCCAGTATAACCGTTCCTCTTCATTGTAGTACTGAAAATATTAACTAGAG